AGCGCACCTTCGTGGCCGTGAAGCCGGACGGGGTCCAGCGGCGCCTCGTCGGGGAGCTGGTGGGGCGCTTCGAGAGGAAGGGCCTCGCCCTCGTGGGCATGAAGCTCGTGCAGGTGAGGCGGCGGCCGGCGCCGGGCAGGCCTCGCCCGGGTCCCCCCCGCGCGCTCGGCCCCAGCGCAGCTTTGCCCCCGCCGCCTGCAGGCCCCCGAGGAGCTGCTGAGGGAGCACTACGTCGCCCTGCGGGACCGGCCCTTCTACAGCCAGCTGGTGAAGTACATGAGCTCCGGGCCCGTGGTAGCCATGGTGAGCGCTGGCCAGGCTCTCCCTGGCCTCGGGGCCGGGGAAAAGCGCGGCGCGTAAACAGCGTCGGCTGGGGGTCCGATGGAAAACACAGAGGTCCCTTCAGAGGGCCTGCTGCAGCTGCACTGAACGGAAGGGACGGTTTACTGCAGTCAATTAAATCCACCCGCAATTTTTATTAATTCGCAAAATCAGCTCTTGAAGCCTTTTTGGGGAGATCCTTTCCTGGCTGTCGTTGGGGCGGATCAGATTGCGGATTAAGAGGACTGATGATGTGGCAGGAGGGGCGGGGGGGGCGGGGGGGGGGGGATTCCAGGTTCGTTGTCACATAGGTCTGGCAGGGCCTGGATGCGGTCAAGACAGTTCGCACGATGATTGGGGAGACTAACCCGGCTGACTCCAGACCCGGCACCATCCGAGGAGACTTCTGCACTGACATCACCAAGTGAGAGCATGGGCTTTTTGTTCCCCGAGTAGTGTTGTGAGTACCTGTCCAGGCGTTCCAGCGCAAGGCTTGCCTAAGCTGTACAAGTCTGCATCGGAGCAGAGGACGTATCAGGGGCTTTTTTCTGCGGTTTGCCCTTTCTGTGCTTGAATCACGTCTGTCTCCCTCAGCATGGCAGTTTGCAGAGCGGTACTGCCAAGGACGTGCTGCACTCTGCCTCCTGAGCTTGGGAGGAGCCTAGGTTTGAGTCTTCCCTGCTTTCTGAGGCCTTTCCTATCTAACCTAGTATTTCTGCCTGTCTAGTAGGAGGTTTTCGCTTGGCCTTTGTTCCAGGGAATCAGGCTGTGAGGAGGAAGGGAGGAGGGGGTCCTTCTCTGGAGGAGCAGGGCACCTAGACAGCTGCTTCAGCTCTACCAGAGTCCGAGGCATTAAAAACCAAGCAGGAGTTCTCCTCTGCAGAGGAGGCCCATGCACTACGGCTTTCACCAGTGAAGATTCACCACTGCTGACCTCTGGTGGCTATAGCTAAGCCTGGCTTGTGGTAGGCAAAGCTTTTATCTAACTCCTTTCCAGAGTTAAGTTTCTTTTTGTTGGTGTCTGATACCAAATCTACTTCACAGGATGCTCCCTGACAGACGGAAGGGGGTAAAATCTGGAGACAAAGCTTAGATTACATAAAAACAAGCAGGACTCCAAATAAACAGCCACTTCCAGCTCATCTTGCAGCAAACATGATTCCTCATTGTAGGAGGAAGGAGTGTTGGGAATTTGCAGCTCCTACCACATCCACAGCATAAGCTATGTTCAGCATAACCACAGCCAGCCCTGAGCCAGAAGGAAGAGAGAGCTGCACGGTGGGGAAGGGACACCTTACACTGACTGGCTCTGTACGTTTTATTAAATTGGTGAAGGTGAAATTTTCCCAGGTGCAGCTTCCTTCCCCCTTTTCTCTGCCTAGCGCAAGCTGATCCCTTTCTTCTTCCTGCAGGAACGTGATTCACGGCAGCGACTCAGTTGAGAGTGCCCGGCAGGAGATCTCCCTCTGGTTCCGTCCAGAGGAGCTGATTTGCTGGGAAGACACAGCTGAGCACTGGATCTACGGCTGAGTGCTGGATCTACGCGTGATAAGAGCAGCCTGAGGGAAGTGTGTCTTCCTGGCTGGGGCATGATGCATTTCCATCCATTTCATTTCAGCCCATTAGGCTGGCTGTGGATTCTGCTGCAGCATCAGGTGCTGTTGGGGGTTTCTATTTTGGGTGTGGGTGGAGGGGTTCTGGGAGCAGTTCAGCTCCTTGCAATAGTAGCTATTCTTTTTTCTTGTCTGCTGTAGTAAGTAGTTAGTGTCGCTGTTCTATTTGCTGTAGCATCCTAAAATCCCAAGTAGCTCTAGGTGATTTGCCGAAGGAAAGCAAAAACTGGGCTCTGTGCTCTTTACAGTATGTAGGGCAGGCCTGCATGGTAGAGTAGAACAGATGCTCCCAACCACTAGGACAGGTGCTCTGATCACCGGACAAGAGTGATCTGGTCAGTATCATCTACCTGGATTTCTGCAAGGTTCTTCACCAAATTTTAAAGTTAAGCTGCTATGGGATAAGGGGGAAGGTTCCTCCATGGGTTAAAAAAGCTGCTTCCAAGATGAGGAATGAAAGATAAGAACTGGTCTCTTTTCTTTCTGTTGGTGGAAGGCCGTGGTGGGAGTTCTGCAGGGTGCATGTGGGGACTGTGCTAGTTCACCTGGCTTCAGAAGTGATTTAGAGAATCCATGAAAGGAGAATTCACTAAATGCTGTTGAACACATAAACACTGCCTCTGCTTTCAAGAATCCCTGGGCTGCGAGTGTTGGAGTGGGGAAATGACTTGTCTAGATCTGCTCTATTTTTCGTAGGCCTCTACTGCTGGGCTACATAGACTCTGGCCTGATCCAGTACAATCAGTCTGACTGTACTAATGTGACTGAACTAATGAAAGAACAGCATTGTACAAACTATGAGAGTAGAAGGGGAAGAGTGAGGTGGGAAAGGTTTTGGGCTCGGAAGGAATTAGGACTGTGCAGACCTCTGTACTGCACAGTGCAGGCTGTGGGGTCTTAGCACAAGGCTCTGGGAGATCATGAGACATCTTGTTTGATGGTAAGGTTCCCTTTCAGAAATCATTTCTGGAAAACCACAACCCCCCCAAATCTTTGGATTCCATGCCCTGAATGTGTTACGTGTTACATTCTTACTGGAACGTCAAACTTGTGTATTAACATCCTGGATCTTTAACAGTGTTTAATTGGTTATCTGAAAGAAGCTATTAATGATTACCTTCATCAGCTCCTCCCAGCTGATAATATAAAAGCTTACAGAGTGGCCTCTGCCTTGCCCTCCCTCCAAACCAGAGGAGGCTTCTGAGGAAAAACATGTGCAGCAAATCAATTTAAAAATCCTGACCCTAAACCATTTCATGTGCTAGGAGAAGTGGAGAAGTGCACAGAGCCTCTCCTATGTGAGTGTATCAAAAGGTGCAGCGGGCAGCCCAAGGGGCACAGGGACAGCTCCCACGGCCTGCGCTTCCACACCTCACTGCTAAGCTGCTTGCATTGGCCAGAAGACATTGCTTGTGGTGCTGCACCCCAGCCTGCCCCGGGACTGCAATGCAGGGTTACAAAGGCTGACGCAGCTTAGTGACCCTCGACGACGTGTTCCCTACGTACGGGGCAAAGTGGCCCGGGGGAGGAGGTGGCTCAGAGGCCTTCTAACTGCTCCTGCTGTGAACCTTCCACCTTTGGAGAGGCCTCTCTGCTTCCACTGACAGCAGGGGTTGTCACAGGAGATCCTCAAGGTCACCTGTGTGAATATGTCCCTTCAGACCCAGGTCCCATCTTTGCCTGCTGCCTCTTCAGGTTTTCACGCTGCTGACCATTCCTTAAAGCTGCATTGTGTCTGAGCCCCCTGCACGGCCTTGGCAGCACATTAAGGCAGGGACAGTGGCGTTGCATTCTGCCATGGAATAGGAGTAGTTTTAAATCCAAGGGACCAAGGTCCCCCAGAGCTTTGTTGCACGTAGACTGAGATGTGTTTTGCCCATGCCCTCAACACTTGTTTCTCTCTCCCGCTGACCTAGCTTTGAAGCTGCTGGGGAATGAATGCAGCTCCACAGGGGCAGAGAGTAAACTCAATCCCCGCTTCCACCTCTAGGCTGGCCTACAGCATCCTGAGGCTGGGCAGAGAAACACTGATAGACATGAGAACAGGCACTGACTGGGAACAGAGGGTCTTCCTCCAGCGACCACGGTTTTCTTCAGCTGGCTGATTAAAGCATGCAGTTTCTTTGCAGCCACTGGCAGCCAGGGCTTCTCCTGCCTGCAGAGCCCTGCCAAGAGGTTGTTTACAGCTCCAAATATATTATAGATTCTGTTTGGTCCCAGAGCAGTCATGCATTTGCTTTTTTATAATAAACTTGGACAGTCCTGTTGTCTCTTCCACTGGCTATTTTCCACATGGATCTGGAAGGTGGAGGGGGTGGTGGCTGATGAGTGGGTGTATTTAGGCCAGCGCTGGCAGAGCGGTGTGTTAAAAGGGATGTGAGCAAAGTGCTCTGTTTGCAAAGCCACTGCGCCAAATGACTTACATTTTACTGACACTGAATTGTGCTGCTAGTTGCAATTTCACTTCAGTACCTTAGAGATGCACGGGCAACACAACTAATGAGGAAGCAGCCAGTTTGTCAAGACATTAAAATCATTTAGGAAAGTAATTGCAAGGGAACCTACTTGATGTAGTTCATTTTAATGACTAACAACTGGTAATTGGCAAAGGCAGTATGTATAGCCTCATACACAATTTTCACTACTTTCCTATTCTGTTGCCTCTTATTTATTATTGCTACCTGCATTCCTCAAGTTCATTAAATCCTACAAAATAAACACCACTGAGACTGAAAGGAACAAACAAGCATGATGAACTCAGCTTTTTAGGAGCAGGAGCGATGAATGTCACTGATTCTTACCAGACTTTGTCAGGTATGACCCTGCAATTGACAGGGGACAAGGCAGCTGCTCTGAAAGCTGAGATTAATGGGTTAACCCTTTCACAGTGGCCTTACTATCTAATCTGAAGGGGGCCCCCACAAGGAAGCTGTAGTTAAGACAGTAGCTGAATGGGTTATCCTTTCTGCACTTTATTTCTGAAATTGGGAGAAGCTATGGATTGCACAGTCTTCAAAGTCAGGTACTGTGCAGTACCAGTCCTTTCTGACTCAGTGAGCAACATGCATCTCATTTGCCCAAAGATTGCTAGAAGGTGAA